AAAGCCAATTACTATACTAGTTAGACTCTGTATAGATATTATCAAGATTATATACATTACAAATTTCTTTTTTCATTTCATATTCTTAAAATTGAGAATGGAAATGGGGAATGTGCCAAAGAGACTACAACCCGATCATAGAGCAGACAACAGCCGAAGACCACCAATGGGTCTTCAATGCAGCGAGAAACTCCCGCACCCGGAGGCGTCCTTCCGCTGGCCCCTAAACAAATATGTATACTAGTTCAGTGATAATGACGTCATACTAAACTCCAAATTATACACAGGAAACTAAAATTAAAAATAATACAAGACTAACAAAGGCCAGAGGCTCCTGACTTGGGACAGGCGCAAAAATGCGGCGATGTTAAACATGTTTTTGGAGATCTCAACCCTCCCCCTATACCTCTAGCCAAAGTAGAAAAAACAAACGCACAACAGTACGCACAGTAAAACTCAGTATAAGAGACGTCCGAGTCCGATGTCAGAATAGGAAATAGAAAATAAACAAAATGACAATAATACATAAATAACAACAGACTACTAGCAGTTACTGACATGCCAGCTCCAGACCTCAATTAAACTGATTGAAAGATTATGTCTTCATCATATGAATATCAGGCACAATCCCTCCTGTTAGGGGTTTAGTATTATATAAAATATATGAGAAGAACATAACCTGTGTCATGCCAACAACTGGTTTTAAAATAAATGTGTTTAATTCCGATGCAAAGACCCTATAAGTGAATCAATATTAAAGTTAAAATATGCAATCTTTAATGACCTGACAACAGTATCGTAACTATATCCCTTCTTAATAAGTCTGTTTAAAGGTTTTGTTAGCTTTTGAGGTGAATACTGACATGTTTGTGCTTTGTAAAGAATATTACCATAAAAGATTGGATGTCAAATACCCGAACATTAAATAATGGTTATAAAATTACACGCTTGTGAGCGACAAATATACATTCAGTTATCATAAAAGAAAGGAAAGTTTGTTTTATTTTATTAGAAAGTGGATAGAAAGGTTATCCAACGCATCGGAAAAGTATTTTTATATGATGGGACAACATCATTGTTTACGTTTTTTCGTTCCCCTTTTTTGACAGTCTCTTCCTAAATATAACTCTATGCATTACATAGATTTTTACTCGTAATTCACCTTGTTAACCTTGGATTAACAATTCTGTTTTTGACAAAATGTTCAAACGAAAATTGTACAGTGTCCGGATATATTAGGTGTAACAGTTGTTTAAATATGAACCTTCTCGTCAATTCGACAGAATTATCTTTACCGATTATGTATGATATCTGGGACGTCTGAAAAGATATACTCGTTCTAAACATGAATGAAATATTTGCCCCTTGACGTTAAGCTACCAACAAAATCAATTAACTGACATAATATAGTAACAGTATACTATTCCGAGAAGAGAACTTCTCATACATTTCATTTTAAAGTACAAATGAAATCAGTCATGTCAGTGTTGGATGATGCCCTCAAATAGTTTTGTTATACAAACCATCTTGAACTACTGACTTTAGTGACGGTTCGATATTGTAATACAGAGAAGAAATGCTGGCACTCTAAATTGATGCGGAGAATATTTTGTAGTCATCATGGCCATTGTGTACCAATGCTGCTGTCATTTGTTCTATACATAACATCCTGAGTGAACAAATGATCATAACTATTATGGTCAGTCTGAGTAAACTATTCCCAAATGATGCCATCTCATACATGTCATACTTGTATCATCAATGATCATGTTTAATATAAAATATCATCTTTCTGACATCAGCTTTTTATAATACTTGTGTTTTACACTAATTTGAAAGCTATATTTTAAATTTGGATACTGCTTCGCGGATATCTTACACATTTATGCATTATGAGTTTTTATTTAAGCTTATATAGATTCCTAATCTTCTGAGGAGGGTATACATAACTTCTAACGCTAGAACACATTTTTCTGTTTCAAATGGCCAAATTGATGGGATTCAATTTTGATATTTGTGTTAAGAAATATTTGAAGACATATCTTAGTTTTGTTGATGAAATATTTAAGTGTTCTTCCTTCTACACATTTCACTATTGAAAAAATAGTAATGTAAAATTGTTCATATACTTAAACATGTTTAAATATGGTCAATTCACATCTTCTATTTTTTGATTATCTGTTTGTAACACGAAATGGTCATATATTTAATGAAACGCCATCGTTTTTTATTTCAAACACAATGACAGAAAATTACATCGTAGCGAAATTTGATTAGAATTAACTTGTTACATTTAACACATATATCAAAGTCAGCTAAAGAGTTTCCTTTTACTATTGTCATTAAAAGTTCAATAGTCTTAGAAATATTATCTTTTTTTTAGTTGCTTTAGGCTTTAAGCCAGCTGTCAGTACCTCTCAGATCTGTACCTAAAGAGGGGTGAACGATACGAAAGGATCATTCAGACTCATAAGTCGAAAATAAACTGACAACGTCATGGCTAAAAAATAAACCAAAAAGACAAACAGACAAACAACAGTACACAAAACAACATAGAAAACCAAAGAATGAGTAACAAAATTCAGTATGGAGCCTGTAAATCAGTGGCTGCTGTTTGTTTCTGTATATCATATTTTGTTCCGTTTGTTCATTGTTAAATTCATAAATCAGGCCGTTATTTTTCTTGCAATATCGGGGTTTTTACATCCAACTATGCAGTATAGGTTTTGCTCATTATTGAAGGTCGTACGGTGACCTGTAATTGTTAATGTATATGTTATTGGTCTTTGGTTGAGAGTTGTCGCATTGGAATTACATAACATCTTCTTATTTTAATAATACAAATCAAATACTTTATAAAAGACTTTCAGTGCCCACCAGGTCTCGTTAAATGTGCAGATGGTTTACAGTGTATTAGCACGTATAGCCTCTGTAATAATGGATATGCAAGTTGCAATGATGAGTCCGACGAAAGTAAAGAGACATGTGCAGGTGTGTATATTCCTATTCGAAAATCGCTGTTAGCATGCTTTTATGTTATTTTACATGTTTAAGGTTGTTCTGTGAATTTCAGGGGATAAATATGCTATCAAACTGCTTTTTGGACTTTTAATCATTGTTATCTTACTATCTATGTCCCTATATTTCTGCGATAAGCTCTTTATAATGCTTGTGTTTTAAGGATTGTGACGTCAATTATTTTTAACCCGGTCTTAACAACTCGGAACCGAATTGTCCATTGACCTCAGGAGATTTCACAGATCGTTGACACATCTAAACCCACATTAACATGTCCTCTACCTACCGATTTGATAGTAAAGTCAACGGTTTAATTTGTATTTCATGAAAATATCATACAAATACATATACAAGTCAATTTCAAGATTGTCCTTATATGGATATTTTGAAAATGTTAGTCACTTGACAACATAAGAACCTTGAGTCTCGTAATTAGCGCTTCTTTGACAACAAGCCTCGTATTGGTAACTGATATTCAAATTCTCAATATACTGAAAATCTAATAAGAATAACAATATATTGCTAAAACTACCACATTATCGGCATTGAGTTAATGGGTTACGTATATACAACCTTTTTTTATTCAATGTGCCTTTTTAAATAAGACTTATTGCTGGCTTTGTTTTCAAAAGAGCAACACGACCCATGCCATATGTGAAGCTGAATCTGCGTACCCTTCCGGAACACTAAGATCACCTCTTGCTTTTGATAGTGTACGAACTTGTCAGTCTTTAGTTTATTTTATGTTGTGTTTTGTATAATGTTGTTAAGTCTTTTTGTCGTTTTATGCAGTATTCAACTTTGCCATTGCATTGTCATATCTTTTTTTTTACTTTTTTTAATGTCATATTTAGTATTTTACGCCTCTCTGTTTCATTACAAGAACATAGCATTCAATGTCGTTTGTTTATATCATACATTGATGGAAATTTTGTTTCCATTTCTCACGGTCGTCGTGTTTTCATTTTGTTTTTTTTTATTGGTCTTTGCTCGTAGAATTTATTGTTATGCATACTGATACACAACATTCCTTCTTTTACATTATTTTATTTTGTAAAGTGCACCTTATTCCTACTGCGTTACTATATTAAGCGTTTCATGCAGTATGATCATTCTTTTTAGATATATTTAGTTTGGATATGTATTTAAATCAGGGCTACAAAATTGTCATTAGTGAAAAATATTGACGTGGGAATAATTCTAAGATTTGTATTAAGATTTCGACTGTGGTGAAGATAAGATCAAATGCCAGGATGGTATCCAGTGCATACATAAGAATAGTCTATGTTCTGGTTGGCCGGATTGTAAAGATGCATCTGATGAATCACCCGAAGTCTGTAATGGTAAGAATACAATAAATCTAAGGAGTGCAATGTAGATTTCAAAATTTAAATTTAGCACCACATTGAGCTAGGCCCACTCGGCGCATTATTCATTATTTTTTAAGGAAACACACTCATTTATGTATAATTTGTAAAGAAACAAAAAACAATGAAATGTCGATTGTTCATTTCCGCTGTTACTTGGATTGAAGATATGTGTAGTGTTTTGTTCGATTAAGAAACGAACATTGGTTATTGTAAAATATTTGAATGGGGAACTTTTAATAAGAAAATATGAGCCATTTGTTATCGTACGCATTGTTGCTTTAAGCAATCATCAGGAAACTTGTATTAAAAACGAACCATTCTTAATGTCAGATTTTATTTCTCATGTTTTCGTATGAAGGACATGTTTTAAGTAATTAATATTAAAAAATAGTAGTAATCTTGCAAACAAAGTGGTAAATGAAAAATTATACTGGAAGACAAAAACAATTTGTCATTTTGTAATAAATGCAAACCACGAGAAGAAAGGAATATTTTCATTATAATATATCTTAACAGTTTCTATAACGATAGTGGTGCGTCGAAAATTTTCTAGAAAAATAATTATTTTGTAAGTTTTATCTATGTTTAATCTCTTTTAATTTTAGATTATAAGTGCCCAGACTATCAAATTAAATGTAGGGATAACATAGAGTGTATTTATAAATCAGGCCTATGTAATCAATATACCAGTTGCAGAGATGGATCTGACGAGGATGAAGAAATGTGTAAAGGTATATACCTGTACAAAAGGTCATGTAGGGTACTGTAAATTCAGAACGGTTTTTATTAATGCGAATAATGCGACTAGATGAGTATCGCAATAATAAGAACTCGCATTTTGATAACTAAAACATAGATCTGTATGTAGATTTTTCTGAAATCGCAATAATTAAATTCGCATTCTTGTCCAAATTTGAAAAATCGCAATAATAAATGCACGCAATAATTTCTGAATTTACAGTATTTGCATTAATTTGATAATCTTCAAACAATAACATTTCAAAAGATATTTGATTTAGGTTAACTTAAGACGTCCATAATTGCTTGTTTCATAAGTCAAGCTGTTAAACGATTTAACCTTTAAAAAATATATACATAAGACTCAGCATATCTGCTTGATAATACAAACAAACAAAACAGGCGTTCTCGTTTATTTGTTTCTCACTTTCTGTGTTTTTTATCACTTACTATGCGGAATGGATTTTGCTCATCGTTCAAGGTCACACGGTGACTTAAAGCTTTTGATATCTACATCATTTGATCATTTGATCTCTGGTGTAGATTTGTCTCATCAAAGAGTTTCTATTGTTATCAAAACATAAACAAACATAAAATACAAACAGCAAACAAAAACAAAACCAACATACTAAAATGCAAATAACAATTTGTCAATTATACGCGTACAAAGCCCCTTTCTGAATTTACCTTCATCAGAAACATAACAACAAAACATGTTAAAGTCAGATTATTAAATACAGACTAAAGTCTTATCTGCCTGAGGTCAACATTACCTGTCGGAGTTGCAACATCAGTGTGTTAATAATGTAAGAACTAATGATGACCACATACCTTTTTAAATTATTCTATGCAGCTCGTCCTTGTGAAAACAACCAGGTCAAGTGCGCGGATGGTGTTCAATGCGTCCATAATTCTACTTTTTGCGATGGAACGAAACACTGTTCAGACGGTTCTGATGAAGAAGGAGTGATGTGCAAAGGTAAATCCAAACAATTTCTTTTTTTATTTACAAACATTGAAAATTTAAATGTTGTAGTTTTTTAGTGGTTAGAATAAGACTTGAACGTCGAGTTCAGTTGGGGTGTTGATACGGGTGAGAACAAAATGATAAGTGATAAAGATAATCATTATCCCTTTCCAAAACACGAATCTTAGCAATTTTATCAAAAATTTGAAAAATGTTTTTGTCAAAATTATTCTAACTAACTATACCAAGATAAAAAAACAAATCATATACCATTGAAAAGAATTTTGCGTTTGCTGATTTATACTTTCTCAGATAAACATAAGCCTTTTTCAGATAAACTTTCCTTTCATAACTACGATGTCAATTTTTAAACATTAAATTCCGTCTTATAACTTTTTGTCTGCATCAATTTAGAATGCTACCACTTACTCTTTTTTGTCAAAATACTGAAGCGTCATTGAAAATCAAACGATTTTATATATCAGGATGGTTTGCATAAGAAAAATATAAGATTGAATTAACCAAAAATGACCATTTTTGCAGTTACAAAAAATCAAATAGCAGTATCACAAATTGGTAAATTTGTTCACTCATTATCGATTGTAAAATACAAACGACAGCAATACTGATGTGACTACATAATTTTGTCTGCATAAATTTAGAGTGCTTCTTATGAGTCAAAGTACTGAACTGTCATTAAACATTTGTTGTTTTGATATCTCAGGACGGTTTGTATAATAATTTTATCTGCATCAATCAAACATTACAATATTTGTACTTTGTAGTATATATGATATGGCGGTATTATAAATCATTAAATATGTAAACTAAAGACGATTGCATTATTTAAGTGACAGCGATATTGGCACACATTGACTACACAGAATTGTCCTCGTTAAATTCGAGTTGACAACGTTTCCTCTTTTTAGGTCAAATATTACATGTATTAAACAATCACTTAAAGAAAGTAGTTACAAAAATCTCAGGATATTTTGTATAACAAGAAGTTGTGTCAGTATTAACCAAAAGTTACCATATTCATAATTATATACAAATGTAATAGCTGTATACACGGTCAACATGCAGAAATTGACGAAAAGGTTTACAATTGATTCAGAACATTATCTGTTTTATGATACCTGCATGTACCTATATATATTTTATATATAGGTCGATCCAAAAAATTGTGTAACCATAATTGTATTTATACAAGAATAAAGAGAACACAAATTTGTCAATGTGTATACATAAAGTCACAATGTAAATAAAATAGTACTTTGAAGTATTGTACAATAGAACAATACGATTACTATTACTATATAATCAAAGATCATGTCCGATATGAACAATCAAGGTCTTGAATTTTAGCATATGTTTGCCCTGAGTGGAAAAGGAAATGTGCTGATGATCAACAATGTGTCGAAGAACAAGGTAGTTTTTGTAATGGACATGCAGATTGTAACGATAAGTCAGATGAAGATCCAGGCTTTTGTCGAGGTACTTTAATAATAAACTGTTTAACCTTTTGCTCGAAAAGAGAGTTATTTATTTTTTATCGTAAAGAAGATATGCTGCTAATTTTAAATACACAGAATATCTACCAAATTGAGTATGAAATTTAATATACAATAGAACTTTCAAATTGGTATAAATCAAAATCAACAAACAACAGGTATTTTTGCAAGTGTTTAAAAAACAACGGCCACTTAGTAATAGTGTTAGTTCAATGATAAGTCAATATTGATATTAAAAGACCTTCGAACAAAAAGGGATGTTGAGATGTTAACGGCCCTTTTTGTGAGGAGGCCTTTTAATGTCAATATTAACTTTGAATTTTTACTGACTTACAAACCGCCAAAAACACAAGAAAAGTACGTCAAAAAAAAAACACACTTGCAGAAGCCTAATTCCCCTGAATTGGACGAGTCTAAATATATTCAACCTAAATGATAGTTAAACAGTACTCAATCTGATATATACAAATAACAGTTACCTAATTGCAATGGAAACGGACCAATTAAATGGCGGTACATCATTTAATTATGTATTTATTATATTTGTTTACCATCAAAATAACACCATAGGATAGTTTTATAAAAGTAAAGAGTAAATTTATATTTTTGAATTCCAACGTTTCAAAATAACTATTTTTATTTTATAAATTTTATAAATGAATAAAATTAAAACCCTATACATACCTCATTTACAACTGACCACTGGATGTTCTAAACAAAAACTTCTTGTTATATATATTTGATGTTTTTAAACTATCAGTAATCATGAAAAAAATTCGTAAAAGCCAGACCATACGAAAACAGTAAGTAAACTCTTCCAACAATTAGTTATTAAAACACAACTTCTAATCACAATATTCAGGTAAATGTTCATTATGGTTTAGATTCTGTACATGCTGTAATTTTCATCATTTTTTTATCGTTACTATACAGTGAAGTGTTTTTTCTTCTACTAGTATATATTACAATTTCTTTAATTTCCACCGATCGAAATTAAAAAAGGGCAGGTGATATATTTCAACAAAATACTTGTGCCTGTTGGGATATCTTTAACAGTAAATTATATTGAATCTAATGTGCCTGTTGGGATATCTTTGACCGTAAATGTTATTAAATTACACCCGTTTTTTTTAGTCATGGGACGGTTTTGAGCCTGTAATTCTGTATAAGCATCTTTCTTTTAAAAAAGACTATGTTGACTCTTAATGTTTTGATTTGTCTGTGTCATTAGGGTTGCTGTCGCATTAATGTATGCCATGCCCTTATCTCCTTTTATTCAAAACCAAAGGATTGACTTGGGTATAGAAATATTGACATCTCTAGACTTCTCCCGTCCGACAGTATACCCTAGCTAAAGGGGTGCATCTTTGGCTGTTCGGATGTATAAATACACAGCTTCGTCCGGTCTAAATATAAATGACTTATATCCAATGTCTGGCGTAAGGAGAATTTCACGCTGTCTACACGTTCAAAAACAATTCGAATAACTCTTTGAGGGGGAAATACGATCTACGCACAAGTTAAATGATCAAAATCTCTAAAAAAAAAAACAACAACGGTCAGCTAAATCTTCCAATAAGTCGCATGGCTGATTTTAACACATTTTTGTTTGCCTTTTGCAAGGACAATTGTAGATGAAAAAAAATCTTAAAATAACAAAACCGACCAGTAAGACGATATCTAAAGAATAAATGAAACGGCCAAAATAAGTTGAATCCTTATATAAATTGTTGCCCACATTTTTTTATCCCTTTTTGCTTTTATAGCAACTATACCAGATATAAAAAAAACTTGTGTCACCTAGACGAGACTGCCGTCGTTGTACGCTTCAATATATGAGTAATTGCCACTCAATGACAATTTTTTTTCTGTTCTAAACCCCCCCCTCCCCCACCCAAAAAAAAACCCACCCCAACCCACACCCCATCCCTAATTCCTCCTAGTTTGGATGGATATGATACAATGCAACACCTGATGTGGACTACGTTATTTATTGTTTTATTGCAAATAGAAAAATGAAGAAAGAAATGCTAAAATTTCCACTTTAAAGTTTGAAAACTGTACGAGACAATTATCATGATTATCAATTGATTGCTTCCTTAATGTCCAGTGGCAAATATGTCATGCATATTCACGACAAGATGCAAAGTGGATCGACCTGAAGCAAATGATAACAATTCTAGAGTGGCACTTTAATAAGATAAAGCATTGGCTTGAGGTAAAACGTATGCATGTCGTACTAGAACAAAGTTGAACAATGATCAAAATCGTAAGTTAAGCTATTAGCCCACTCTTTTTTCTCCACGGAAGATGAATGCCAAAAACAAAAAGACATGAATTTACAATCAATAGCTGCCACTATCAGTAAATGAGATATGATGGACTTATTTTCTCAATAAATTCCTATTGCAGCCAACAATTCTCGGTTTCGGACAGGTTTGTATTTCCACTCAAATACCGTCTGATTATTGACTGGAAATATTTATTCAACCAAAAGCACTTTGATTCTCTGAAATTGAAAATTTTGGTATTTCGCTGGCTGTTTTCCCTGATCCTATTTTGGACCCCCTGATTCTAAGAGGGCGTGTCTAATTTGTCATGCTCGGTTAACTTTTAGTAAATTAGACCTCAACTTAAAGACCTACACCGGGTTAATAAGTTCGAGGTACAAAAAGTAAACAAAAGAGATCCTTTACGAAATGATATCGTCACAGGTATCTTAGATAATTATTTTGCGTTGAATAACAATGGAAAATGCACAAACAGGTTTGTAAAAAAACCTAAACATTTGGCATGTTAATGTATCCGCGTTTTTATATTTGTTATGTTAAAGTTGATGATGTTACTAGATACAATAATGTGTCCGATGTGTATACAGAGACAGTGGTGGAACAAACTCAGTTTAACAAAACTAAGAAAAATTAATGTATAAATATATCCCATTGGAATCACAAAAACTGATTTTAGCGGCACAACATAAGTATATGTTTGAAGTAACAAATTGTTCCCACGCCTGAATTTATCATTTGATAGTATTTTGCATTTTATACATGTATATACTTATCTAGATTATAGCTGCAGTGATTACAATCACAAGTGTTCTGATGGATTGCAATGTATCGGTGAATACAGTTTATGTAACGGCTACGAAGATTGTTCAGATAAATCAGATGAAGATCCGGACGTTTGTAGAGGTATATTCTGAAGCGGTTGTCTTTTTCGTCTCAACATTCTTATTGTTTTGCCAAAAAAATGTGATGTTTAACACATGCAACGTTTATACAACATGTTTGTATGCAGAAACACGCAGATTGTACGAGAATATTGTTTTCTTTCTTGTTTATTTGCACCATTTTCTGTATGTACATATTGATGCATACTTTTTCGTTTTTTTTTTATTGTTTTGCATCTTTCGCCTCTCTTTTGCCTGATGAAAGTTCTTAAATGGTGTAAACTTCACACATAAATAACACACCAAATACCATTTACACTATACACCTTTCTCCTACACAAAACGCAACATTCAAAAATAGTCACACTGTAACATGTTTGTGGTAATTTCCCATTTTATTTCGCAATTAACAGAACTTTAAATAGTCTGCAATGACCCCTGTTCTTCAACAGAAGAAGAAGAGGACAAACCATACTTATACGCGTTTAAGTGGCAAATTTACACCATTTCAAGGCTACATAGTTCATCAAAAGGCTAGTTGTTCTTTAAACAATACATGTACAACAAATGAATATATGAAGTATATATAAAGATCTTTAAAAAAAATATAGAAATTAAGAAATTTAGATTGGTTTAATGGATTGCTATAATCGGTTTTAGACATATTGCATCTTTTTTTTTCAATGTTAGCAAGGTAGGAATATGATACAAAAAGGTTAAGCTATTGTTTTTATTCTCTTTAAAATGACAGCTAGTTGACTAGGAAAGGTTTACGTGAAATGACATGCAATCAAATTAAATGAAGCAAATGCACTCGTCAAATACACTGCTATAACCAGTACCGAAAGACAAGATTTTCTGCAACTTTTCACTGCAATATGTTTGAGTTAGTTTATCTACATATCCTTTTAAATATCATATATAAAAGAAAGTAATACATATGATCTTGGTTATCACACTTTCAAAATCAATAATGGAGATCATTGGTATTTAAATTAACAATTTTCTTCGGTTTTTAAAAACAAATTAAAACGACATTTGTTATTAATGTAAGCTTGCTAAAACTAGATATTGCATGTCATGAATTTATTTATAATGGTTTCATGCGTACCATATACAAAGTAAACATGAATAACAAAACTTTTGCAGCAAGGGAATGTGACAACGACAAAGTGAAATGTAATGATGGCATACAATGCATTTATAAATCAGAACTATGTAACAAATATACACATTGCAATGACAAATCTGATGAGAATGAAGATATGTGTAAAGGTGAGACATTATGCGTAAGGTTTCATTTTTTGTTTTTTTTGAGAATTTAGAAGTTGGATGTGTATCAATATGGTGATTTGTTGACAAATATTCATAACATGTTTGGCAATTGATAATTCATTTCAATGTTTTCGTTATAACACAGTATGAGGAGAATCATTACTTCGACATAATGTTTTTAACACAATAAAAAGAGGCTTTGGTTTTAAATTTGCGAGACAGCAATAGCCTTATGAAGAAAAAGAAAAAACGGTTACATTGTTTAATTTGTCTTCTTGATAACGATTAATGCTACTACTATTTCTTCTGAAAGAATGATTAAGATGACAATCCTGCATGTGCAAAAGTAAATAATGATAGATTATAATGTGTCTTTTAATAAATAGACCCCGGTATCATCCTGAGACTTCCATAATAGCCCAAGGATCATATGGATCAAAGGATGATACCATGGCCCATATGAATAACAATTTATTTATTACATATTATACTTATGCTTAAAAAAGTAGAATGAAATTTAGTATTTCGTCTGGCAAGGTCATGCAGGTTTTCCCCTCTGTTGTTATAACTTCATTATGAGCTGTTTTAATGTGTAGACCTTGAATGTTATAATTTCAATGTGAGATTTTCTTTTAGTAGTAGTAGTGTTCTTAATTTCGTAAACACATTCTCCGTCCTTCATTGTTGTTCCGAAAACTTATGACGTCCTAAAAGGGCACAATAACTGCTAATGACCAACAGAGCACAATATCTGCATCTGACGTCATTACAGGGCACATTAACTGCAAATATGCCTTAGTCATATTGCAGTTTGGGGGTAAATAACCAAAACCTAAAACTCAGATTAAATACAATGAGTATTGAGGCGTGTATTTCTTCTACACAAAACTCAGATTGCAAACAATGAATACTGAGGCGCTCATTTCTTTTACACAAAATTAATAAGTAATGGGCGATGTAAATAATTTCAATGACAAAGTGTTAGACCATTGGATACTTGGCTGACTAATTGGCTTGTGACACATTCTGGAAAGATTAGAATACAAATATGTCAACGGCATTGGTTGAATTAATTCTTTAAATCATGTCACTGGTAACGATTCTTATTCCGAAATGGCTATTTCGGTTTGAGCATTATCTGAAAAGTGTGAACAATGAAGTAATAATTCATGTTAAGACTATTGGTCAATTTTTAGGGCTGAACTAGCTACTGCTGTAAATTGAAGACTGTTCAAATAATTCACTTGAAGTTAATTCAGTACTGTTCAGTAGCTTTTCAGACAAATCAGAAGTTTTTTGATGTGTGAAGGTTAATATCAGCAACTGAAAGGTTTAACTGAACAAATCATAATTGACTGCAAGCACACTTTCTGAACAGTTCTGAATTAACGGCAGTGGATAATTTTATGAATTAAAATGAAAGACTGAAAATGTGATAATAATTTCTGAATTTATTGTCTAGTCTTAAGATCTGATCATATCAAAATGACCGTTTCAGATTAAAATTGGTTTACCAGTGTGTGAATTTGATCACATTAATGTTTATCATTTTCCGTCCATAGAACATATATTGTATTGTTGTTAATAGTTGATTTCTTTTTTTTTTGTGTCCAAGTTTGCATACAAACCTTAAAGATATCTGTATTCCATTGAGCATTATGATTTAACTTCGTCTTTATCAAATTAACGTAGATTGGTACCCAATGATTAACAATGAAAACAAATAACAAAGACCGAACTAAAAAAAAAATAAAATCGGAAAGTTTCTAGTCAAATGGCAAAAACAAATGCTCAAACACATCAAACGAATGAAAAACAACTGACATATTCCAGACTGGGTACACGCATTTTCTATGTAGAACATGGTAGATTAAACCCGGTTTTCTAGCTAGCTGAACATTCTCACTTGTATGACAGTCGCATAAAGTTCCATTATATTGACAACAATGTGTAACAATCCACAATTAAGATTATCTTTGTTCACCAGAAGTGTCTACTAAAGAGTTATCAGTGCTTCCCAAATCAAAACATGCAAAATGCAAATGAAAAGAAAATTACATGTTCAAGATGAAAAGAAGGAAACACCAAAATTCTCAAGGATTTGTCAAAATTCTCGAAAGTCAACTTTGTCTCCAGTTAAAACAAATCGCTAGTATTTCAAATAATGTGTATGTATAATGAATAATGTATTATAAAAAAAATGACGTTTAAGCAAATGATATTTCATGTCAATGATCAAAATGACCGTTTCAGATCAAAGCCCAGTGGCTGTAAAACTGATGAAAGGCACACTTTCTCTCAGTGTTGTAAACAAGGCATACCTGTCAGTGTTGTTCAAATATATTCATGATGACTCGGTTCGGGAAAAGTATTCTCTGACTGAAAACTTGCATACTGGGCATTGACTATATTTTTGGAAATCAAATGTTTTCTCGATCTGTAATTTTGCATGTCACGCAAATATATATTGCTATGATGTTTTCCTTGAGCTTAATTTTCATAATGTTTTTCAGAAACTAATTCATGTATTTATTACACTTACATTGACATAGTTCGTCACGGATAAGAACTACCTTTGTTAAACAATAGTAAGGATTTAAAATAAGTATTTAACAACATCATACTATTTAGGTACAACAGGAGTAAGACTAAATATTCCCGTTTGCATGGTCAATATTGCGACGTAAGGTTTCACTTATTTTTAATTCTATGTAGAGGTGTTCTATGGTGGTTGGTTAAATAATCAGGCTATATTGATGATGTTTTTTATGTGATGACTGTATATGTCAATTGCAGCTAGAATTTGTGAACCTGGCCACACAAAGTGTGCAGACAATTATCAGTGTATAAACAAAGATAATGTTTGTGATGGATATACGAACTGTAATGATGAGTCTGATGAAGATGCGGTGGCCTGCAAAGGTACTTTTTTTTTAAATTTTACGTACTGCTTATGTACAAATATACTTGTTCAATTTATTTTACGTAAAGCATTGTGTATATCCACATGCTCTTGACTTTTGGATTCAGTTTTTTTTTAAACTAACACACTTATTGTTTAACAATCTTGATTTCCCTTAAAGATCATCTGAGTAATATATAAAATAATGTTTTCCGTAAATCTATTAAATTGATTTACTCTATACAACTTCCCTCCTGTCGTCTAGATATTTATTTATAATCAATGATTAAACCATAGAGATGCGAGGAAGATTACTACGCCCCACTTTTAGAACGTTAAACATATGATAATAAACGGTATATTGCAATGCAATAGAGAATACATTTACTGACGTGATAAATCAAACGTTGTAAGAGTGTTATCAATGTCGTAAAAATAGTTGAAATAAATGTTAAAACAAATAATTCTAAACATTCGACAACACATACCGATTATTAATCTAATGGACTGTTCTAGTTATTTTTTCTTTCTAGAATACAAATGTCCAAATGACAGAGCTAAATGTGCGGATGGACTACAATGTGTACGTCTAGAAAGTATCTGTGACGGCAATGAAAATTGCCGTGACGGTAGTGATGAAGATAAGGAAAAATGCAAAGGTAAACACCCATCATAACAGAGGAGCAAACATTTAAAGTATATTCAACGAGAGGTTTATCGCTAATCATCCCTTCAAAACCAACATTTTGTTACATATTAGTTTTTGTGTTTAACAAAGATAATCCCACTTCGTACAGTGTGATATATTTTGCAATAAAAGGCAAATTCTAAAGAACATTGTTGTAACAAGTTGAAGATGGTTTGTTAATAAAGGATGTTATTCACAAGTTAAACATGTAAAAGCAAAAATGTCTCATACACAAAGAGGTATATTGTGATTGTATTTGTATTCGACTATGTTGATGAATCTTTACTTTGTGTCCATATTCTGATACTCTCAGAAATATCGTTCTTAGAAATATGCAGTTTTCCTGTCATTTATTTAAGACTTATCCTAACAAAATTTTTTTTCACATTAACATTGATATAGGTCGAGTTTTCGAGGTTCAGAAAAACAAACAGTGTTCGTTTGATCAAATTATGAAGGTTGAATACTCTGTCGGTTTTAAATGATCCGGTGCATGTTTAAGAACCATTGCGAGGCGAGAACGTTTCAATTTCTAAAGAAAAGACTGCAAGCTAAATTTATATCTCATTCATAATATTTATGTCTAATGTAGGTTAAATTTTTCACTTTTAGTACTGTTGATATACATAACCCACTATTTCTCTTCAATTCCCTGTTGAATTTATTTATCTCTCCTAACTATTCATTACATTATTGCTGCATGTTTTTCTGGTCTAACGACACAACATTGGTTTAAGTGACTCATGATAATTCGAGTCGAAATACGTTTTTTTTAAGTGTGTTGCGTTTATCCTCCTGCCATATATAATTGCAATATGTGGAACTTACAATCATTCAATGTAAAAGATGATTCACTCAGATCAAACTCAGACGGTTTCCAACATGTTTAAATCAAACAATTTGAAATGCATAATATTAAAAGTAATTAATGTGTAATTAACTAAACAAAATTTGGTGAATATTTTCGAATAGTTTGATGATGTAAAATCAAATGGTCAAATATGAGCCAAAGGTCGCTGTTTTGCCACCATGCATGACCTTCGAATATCAATTGAATACAAACTGTTGATAACTAAACATGTTTTCCATTAATGAATATATACCAGTTTATGTTTAGACAGTTATGTGTATCATCCGTCCTCTGTCTTAGGAAGCGTTATGGGCATAACCGATGTTCACACGGCGTTAATAGATCATATAAAGCATTGCAATCAAAGTTTAAGCGTACGAAGAATAGTCGCAAACTACTTTGACGCTATAATTAATATTCAGAGTGTGAGACAATTAGCATTGCAGTCCGTTATTATCAAGTATAAATATTTACAGGACGTTCTCACAGTCAGTAAAACTTAAGATACATTGTTTCTATGTGTCTTTAGATGACACGTAATATACCACTGAAATATGCAACTTTATATTCTTAATGTTATTACTCTGATCGAATTATATCTTTCAGCAAGAGAATGTGCTTATGGTTTCAGAAAGTGTAATGATGACTACCATTGTATTAATGAAGAACTGTGGTGTGATGGACGCAATGAGTGTTCATCGGGAGAGGATGAAGATCCCGATATGTGTTCACGTAAATATGCACCACATTTATCCTGATTTCTAGGTGCTGTATTTTTAAACTGTGCTACTAAAACTAAATAACTGAACATTAACTCATTGGTGGTAAACAAAATCAAAATATATAAAAACTTATATAAAAATTTTGAAAAACAAAAGTAATGAACTCCAAGGAAAATTCGGAACGGGAAGTCTCTTATTAAATGGGAAAATCAAAAGCTCAAACACTTCAAACGACTTGAAAACAACTGTTGTATTCCTTATGTAGAAAACGGTGGATTAAACCTTGTTTGATAGCGAGCTAAATATCTCACTTGTATGAGTGTCGCTTACAATTACATTATATTGACACACTGTGTGAACAAACAACAGTCAACATTGTATAATAACATATTAAAACTTAAATGGTATCTAGGTGGACATCTACTTAAGTTTGTTACTCATAGCGTCACACATTGTCTTAAAAAATATATATCGATTGTTATATTTAAATATTCGTGACATCTAATACCGCTGAAAAGCAACCAAATAGCTTTCAATTATATAACAATGAGTCTTTAGATAATAAGATAACATTCAACATTCTACTCGTTTTAGATCACACACACATTCACACACACATACATACACACGGTAAATCTGCTTTCCCTTGTAGATTATGCGTGTCCTGTCGGATTTGTAAAATGCAAAGACGGACTGCAGTGTATTCGTGTTTTTTATATGTGTGCTGGGAATTTTCTTGGTCCCGGTTCAGAATGTAAAGATGGTTCGAATAATGATACAGATTTTTGTTCAGGTAGAAATTTGTGAATATGCACAACACAGAGAAAAAAATCAGATACTGGGGATTCATTGTTATTCGTTGACTACTAATTTTCGTGGATTTTGTGGGTACAGGTAAACCAAGAAATTGAACGTTCAACGAATACAACTTTGTGTATAGGCTTGTGTGCAGACTTCTGCAAAACCACGAAATTAAATATTTTTTAAGTTATCCTTAATCCACGATATTGGAACCCTAAATAATAAATGAATTCACTGTACATCAGTAATACAGTAGTAAAGTGCTGGAGGTACGGACCAAAATATTTTAGATATAAATATTCACTGTAGATGTGTGAACAAGACGTTTGTTCTCATTTGACAAACGGTTTCTTATTCATTATGAGTTTTAGAACTGCAATGAATATTTCGATGTTTTGTTCGTAGCTGAGTTCCGTTGAACCGTGTAAAAAAAATGTTAATTTCAAAATATAGCAGAATTTTAAATTAATTTGTTTTAATTTTTTTTCTGTTAACAATTTGCACCTTTCAAATTCCAAAAACAAAAAATGAAAATCAAGCAAAGAAATAAAACGAAAATCGTCGATGAATTCATGTTTCTTTTTTATATCGATCCGTTCATTTCACAATTTTATCTATTTTTTTTTTTTTAATAAATAATAAGCAATTTGAGTATCAATAACATTATGCTATTTTTGATATCAAATCTAAACTATATCATGTACTAACTGTTTTGTCTGGTTTGTTGTGTTGTTCCAATGTTGACTCTTTAACATATAAACCATATCAGTCATACATATGTGTGGAAAACATTGCAATCAAGTTTGGTGAATAGGACATACAGATAATAATACTTAATCAAATGAAAATAATAGGGAACATATTTCTTTCAAAACACTGACGCAAATGAGCTATACACTCTGACGTGTCATTAAGCTTTTGTTATAATTAAGTGGCAGTCTTTGTAAGAATCAGGCGATTTATAAAAATTTCAAAACATGGCCGAAAAAAAAACCACTAAGCTAAACAACCTATTTTGAAGTTATTCTCGTCCTGAGTTAGAAATGGTATTTTTTTTTGTTTCTGTGTGTCTGCCAAATCGAGAAATTTCTAGATCACTCTTGTCTCCCCTCAGTTGGTCAAATCATATCTTGAAATACCAGAATAGAAAAAGGAAACAAATGTTATATTCATGTACCAATAAACATTTTAAACTTAAATTAATTTAAAGTTGAGTGGGTTTTCGTTTGTTTTCAACACTGCCTGATCCGTAGGCAGGTTGGCACTTAATATGTACGTAGCCACTACAAAATAACAATGGAGGAAAAACATTGTCCAAAACACATCTTCAAATATAAAACGATTCATGTGAATGCACAATTAAGAAATACAATAATTGCATTGTAATGCTTAACATGCTTAAGACTACTGGATTTTTTAAACCGGAATACCAATATTCACTTTTTTGTATTGAAATAATTTATATATAGCAGAGCGTTGTGGTAAATCACGCAGTGGATGCATTTTGGTGTTGCGTCATCAGGCCATCGTTTCATATTCATACATTCGATGGAATCATCAAAGGGGGATATTCATATTATTGATCGAATTTCCTTAAGTAATTTGTCAAACAGTTATTTATTTCTTGGTTTAATATTTTAGCTTACGAATGTACCCCGTATTTTGCAAAGTGTCCTAATGGTCATCAATGTGTACATCAGTCAATGATTTGTTCCGGGGAACAGATGTGTAATGGCGAGTCAGAGGATGAACAACAATTTTGTAAAAGTAATTTACTTCTTTTATTAAGATTGGAATTTTCTATCGTTGCAAGTAGCAGGGTAAAATACAGAAACTACGTCACATTTCACGATGACAAAAATGAGTTACGCCAATTACCAGACATTCACTAATATTCCATTTCTTGCTGAAGATAACAAAACAGGTTAATAAGTTATATTATGACGTGAATACGAATGCATGTATTGCCTGTCTTGAATAAATCTAACTTGTGCTGAAAAGTTCAACTTACGTTTTATTGCATTTTACAGCTCACTGGTTTCCGGAAGTTACGTTGTTTGAAAACAGGACAAAATCTGAATCTACATATACAGTAGAGTGATTGCCCCTTAATGACAAGTTTATAACCTTTTTTGATGAGGGGGGGGGGGGGGGGGGGTAAAACTAAAGAAGATAGAGAGAAGCTTTAAACAATAAATAATATCAGCAATACAAGATCAACATTGGTGATGAATTCTAATCTAGTATTCAATGTTCAAGAGTGTCCATTGTTTAAGTTGCACATAGAACTAGGTTAGCGACACAGGCTTTTTAAAGTCTCTGGTTTAGAATAACGTTAAAAATAAATTGATATGTCGTGTTCTTCTTAGTGTAGATATCTATAAAACAATAGAAGATGTCAATGTATCTTGCAATTACATGACAACACGTTAAATTGCCTGAAATACTAAAGATAATACAATCAAAAATCATACGCTATGTGTATGTGTATATTGCATAAAAATACGAGTTATGTTTGGTACCCTATGACTTGTTTATTATTTATTCTAGTATCATGGATGTTTTTTTTTGTTTTTATTTTTGTAAACAAAGCGTCTGAAGTACCACTTTTTTTTTTTTTAGATCTTCTTATTTTCCCATTTCGTTTTTTATTTGTCATCGACTTACAAAAAAAATGTGTGTGAATATCCCTTTTAATATGTTTTGCTCCACTTCCTCAGTTTTCATCTTTCGGATAATGTCTTTTTTTTTTCTTCAATACAGCACATAATTGTGGTGACATAATGTCCAAATGTGATAATGGATACCAATGTGTGCTCGATTTTAAGAAATGTGACGGCTTCGCAGATTGTGCAGATGGTTCAGACGAGAATCTAGACTTGTGTGTAGAGAGTATGTTTATTTGAATCGCATGAATCAATGATTGATATTATTTCAATCAAACAGATGATAACCGAAAGGTTTAAGTAATGAAAAAGCCTATGATGTCATTTGGTTTTTTTTCATTGATCAAATATTTAACAGATTAGTTTTCATTACATATGTTTTCACTAAGTATAGTGTGTGTTGTGTTGCCGATCATATGTTTAAGTTGTCTTTGTTTCAGGCATATTAAGACAGTCAGTGGAAAGAAACTTAATTTATAAACATGTATCAATAAGGGTATTTCTTTTTTTGCTTTAGGTACATTAACACAAACAAAAAGTACTATCACGAGTGGTTGCATGTTGAAATAGTATTAACACACAATAAATACTAGTTATAGAGTTGTGTTACATTGACCATGCATTTCCACGCAAGAAAAATAAGAAATTTCAAACATGTAACGAAATTGATTTGTGTTTAATTTGTTTGAAAACAGATTAATGCAATCACTTTAAACTGATTACTTTATCCTCTTACCAAAGAAAGAGTAGAAAATGTCCATCCAGTTACTATCGAGTCAGGGTTAAATAATGTGATGCAATGCAATGCAATTTGAAATTAATTACACAGGTACCAGAACACGCCGACGAGATTTGAAAAACAAAAATGAAAAGAGTTTGATATTATTTACAATAAAGCTCACATGATTATGATTTATTGTATAAAAAAGTAATTACTAAGTTTGTGATTCATATATGTTGGATTTATATTAATATAAGGATATGTATTCCTAAAACATAACATGAAATGGTGGTTTGGCAATTTTGTAAAAATCATCATCAGTACTGAATCCTTCTTAACTTACGTGTTTTCTTTTCTGTTATTGGTGCATACTCAAATATAGCTAAACCATGCACTAAACACATGCGAAATTGTAATTGGAAATCCGTCAAAGGGTTTAAGATGCATAAACTTATTCTAATTTCTTTACATCTTATTTAAAGATCGTATCTGTCCAATTGGAATGGTGAAATGTGAAGATAAGGTTCAGTGTATTTATGAAATGCAGTTTTGTAATAGATATCCTGACTGCAAGGATAAATCGGATGAAAACCCAAAGATTTGTACAAAAGGTAATAAAAGTTCTTTCATCATTTGAATAAAATGATAGATTTAGTACGCAATACTAGTAGTTTATACAAATTATAAGCCTGTTTTCTTTGATTGTTATTTTGAGCTGTCTATTCCATGTATCATATTTTGACAAGATGTTAGTAATACAGTTTAATGCACATTAGTATGTCTATGTCAGAAGAATTACAGAAAAAAATATTGAGCAAAGAATCTCTGCATATATATCAAGTACGGAAATGTTTGTGTCTTTCCGCTTGATTAATATCTCTTACCAGCCCAGTAGTCAGCACTTCTGTGTTGACATGAATTATCATTGATATGGTCATAATTATAAATTAAATGTTTACAAAACTTTAAATGTTTGAAATACTAAGGCTTTTCTACCTCAGGAATAGATTACCTTAGCTGTATTTTTAGGAATTTTTGGTCCTCAATGCTCTTCAAATTCGTACATTATTTGGCCTTTTAACTTTTTTGGAATCGAGCGGCACTGATGGCTCTTTGGTAGACAAAACGCGCGTCTGGCGCAAATACAAAATTTCAATCATGGTATCTATGATGAGTCTATTCATACTAACTACTGGTTTTAGAATAAATGTGTTTAATTCCAATGCAAAGAATGAATCATATTAATTAAAAAAAAAAAAAAATTTAATGACCGACACCTGTATCGTAACTATATCCATTCTGATTAAGTCTGTTTAAGGGTTTAGTTAACTTTTGAGATCCATATATCTAAAAGTGTTATAAAATGTTTGAATCATATGTTGTTTTGATGACTCTTTGCTGATTTTAGTCATAAATTGTAACTCGTAACAATACAGAAACTAGTCCGCAATAAGTGGGGCACAGTAAGTCATAGTCAGTTTAGTAGTGGAACAATGGCTTAAAGACGAAATCAATCTATATTTGTAAGGTGTTTTGTGCAGCTTTGTTAGCCATGGCGTTGTCAGTTTCTTTTTCGACTTATGAGTTTGAATGTCCTATCTGGTTTCTTTCACCTCTCTTTCAGAAGCCTGCACATACACTAGTAGCACGATTTCAGTCTGAAACGGTCATTTTGGTCTGATCATATCTTAATCGACTGGATTTACCGCTAGAGAAAAACGTCAAGACTTTTAAGAACTTTTCAGACGCCGTTCCGATCGATAGTCGCATCAGGTAAATCAGTCCGTTAAGGCATGTCAAGATAAACAAGACTGAATCTTCTAGCGAGCTGTTAAGATCCGTTACGACTGATTCAGTCTAAATCAGACCATGGATACAAAATTACGTCAAGATGTAGTCAGACCGTGTTCAGTCGTGTTCAGATTTAAATAATTTGGACACAAAACGGGTGAAACTTTCCCAGTGTGTATCAGGGGTTGTTCCCCTTCAAGAGTAAAATACGAATTAGAAAGAAGACGGTTTGTGTTACTTTGATAGTCTACCATGTCTACTTAATTAAAAAAAAAAAATTGTAATTCTTACTTTTTCCTATGTAATTATAAAACATTTTTTATATTAAAAAAAAATATATTGCTGTTGTTTTTTATTTAAATATTTTGCGATCGTGTTTGACTAGTGTATTCGACTTTCCTTAAGCCGTCATGAAAGGTATCTTTTATTTTTTTATTCTGTCTATTTAGAGTCTTTTATAACTTGTTTTACATGCCAGAAGCCTTCGTTTAAAAATAGAGTTTATATATTATTGGAGATGATGGTTTATGAATTCATAAATTCAAATTTATATTTGAAAAATATTTGATAAATTATCATGATGATTATGCGGAAGTGAAAATGTTCCGTCGGTGTATGTGAAGTAAATTTAAAGAATATGACTAAGTTACATATATATTATACAGCATAATGAAACTGGTTTAATTTGAATTACTATCCATTAGGAACATTTTCCGATAATAATTAATCAAATCTGTCAAGTTTTATAAAAAACGGAAAACAATTCTTCACCCGTAAACGATTTAACGTTACTGTACCCTTTTATTTTTGTTGCATTCTGTCGGCGGAAAAGCAGGTCGGCAAACTATATTTTACACAAAATCGTAGAAGGGAAACTTACGGTACAATATAAGCTGAGCTGAATATTGCAATCGGTGAGTAGAAATGAACAATATTTTAAAGCATGTCCATCAGAATAAATAAATCATGGATCCAAGATTTTGAAGGAAAAATCTGCACATTTGTTCCTACAGGTATGAATCAACGTTATATATCATCGCACTCGTGCATAGTGGCATGTTCCAAGGCAACGTTAGGATTTAGGCTTGTAAAAAGTTTATGCATCGTTGAAATTCATGTATGACACCATTCCCCTCCCCTTTGTCATGCTTATGAAATTATGTCATTTAAACCCTTAATTATGACTTATGTACTTCAAATGTACATCCCAAGGGTGACAATTGAAAGTAATAGAAAAAAGGTTACTCTTGGTCTTCATCCAGTGGCGGGGCCGGGGGTTCCTGGGATTGACCCCCTTTTTTGGAGGATCAATGCATTTGAAAGGGGACCGACCCCCTTTATCCTGGGTTGGGACCCCCCCCCACCCCCCCCCTTTTAAAAATGGCTGGATCCACCCCTGTTCATCTTCTTACTGTTAAACCCAACATGTGGTGCATTGGTTTGGTTGTGCGGGATGGCCTATTACAGGACCTATACATATTGTATGTCAATGTTTTAAATTTAAGGTTCATCTATACACTTCAACAAAAATAGCTGTGTTTACACCATGAAATTTTCTCTGAATGCTGACAAAACTGTGTAATTCTAATAGTTTTAAATCCTGGCAGCACCAACAGGATATAATTTTATTCTGGTATTTTGGATATATATATATAAAAAATACAGGTTTTAAAAGTTATCTAAGTATTGATTTATCAACATAAAAATGGGTAAATAACTAATATAAAATAAAGAAAATGTGTGGTCTGGGGAAAATAAACTGCAAAGCATTATTTAATACAAGTTGTAATATGTAAAGTCAGAGACATATATACACAGAGATATATATGTCTCTGGTAAAGTATACTGGGTAACTTTGAAAATGTCAAATTAACTCAAGGTTTAATACTAAATATTAGAAGGAAATATATGCCTTTTTTAGGTTGCTTAAAATGTTAAAAGAGAGGGTTAACCTTTGGATAAAGATTCTTCATTTACATGCTTTACCTAAAAAAGGTTTATTCATTTATGACACAAAATTCTTTCATATATATATATATATGCACTTGACAAAAGGAAAGTCTGTAAGGTAGAAACAGTGCATTTATTTCTGTTTTTTTTTTAATCAATCTTTAAACTTAACTTTGTAGTAATTTTATTCCTATCAAAATGATCAAAAGAAATATCAGCTGTTGTGTTTTAGAGAGAAATAACTATGTCAGACTTTAAAGAATTGATCAAAACAAATGTAAAGTGCTAGCCTCAATTAGACAGTAACCCTTCAATGAAGTACACACATGAGAAAACATTAATGTAGAATGAGAGACAATATCTTTTTAAAAATAGAACCCCAAAGAAAGATTTAATCTTCTTGTTATACATGTTATATGGGACTTATATATAAGTTCAATTGTATAAGTCATAAATACAGTTGTATTAGTCATAGAACTTTGTTATCAAGCAAATTAGACTTGACGGTTTTTCTTCTAGATAAATACAAGTAAATATATACAATATTAGATTAGTTTCAGTACTTTATTCTTAATGTATATTTTTTTTTTGTAGAATTCACATTGGTTTGAGCATGATTCCCAGCCAGATTATGAAGCCGGCATATACATGATATAGGAAATATATATAGATGTCACTAAGTAACTCGCATAGCTGCTAATTGTGCAACAGTGGATTAATTCATAATTTTGTGTTTACTTATTGCTTTTGTAAATAACAAATAGGGCTTACAGCATTATGCCATGATGTTGATGGGATGTTCGTATTAGATTGGACAAGAAGAAAATTGTGAATTGAACACCTAGCAAACTTATAGTTTGTAAGAAAGACTACATTACTTGATGACAGTGAACATGGTGAATGCCTTTGATATATTATTCATTTGAAATAACAATTTGGAATAAAGAGAATTCATAGTTTTCTGGGAATATTAATAGTGCATCATATCTGAATTCCATGAATATCTTGGATAGTTATTCATTTAGAATAGCAAATTGGAATAATGAAAATTCATAGTTTCAGTGATTACTAATAGTCAAATCAAATCAAACTTGTATTGCCATATAAACCAACTTATACGATTTGTGACAAAAACAACATTAATAATTATATACATTAAATGACAAGAAAAAAGCATGTATAATCATATTAAACAAATTAATGAAAATAGTTCAAAATTCAATTATGAGTCCCCTATCCTTAGTGCCAATGACTTTTTTTATAAAGGAACATATGCTTTCTATCTGTTTTTGTGTTGATGGGCAAAGAAGATTTATCATTTTTTCATTTTCATTGAGGCTATTAAAATTTTCTATACTTTTAGCCTTTGTTAATTTTTCAATAAAAACTAGTCTAATGGTAGCGTTTTTCCTGCAATACAAAAGAAAATGTTTTTCATCCTCAATTGTATTGCAGGACTGACACAACCAGTTGTCCCTAGGGATTTTTAGGTGTCTCCATAGTGCATCATATCTGAATTCATGAATACCTTGGATAATTATTCATTTAAAATAAGAATTTGGACAATGAGAATTTCTGGTTTCTGTGAAATTTATAGTACATCACATCTGAAGTTAATGCTGTCATTGCTATTGTGAGCTACATGTACCACCAGGGGGTGTTAAACAACTTTGACTACCCATGAGGGTCTGTCACAGCCCTCGCATGCTTGTTGGTTAGTGTCAAATGACTGCTTGTTGTACTTATAAGAGTCTGAATGTACAATATTGATAATAGTATAAATTATTGGTCATACTGAAACTTGCATTTTATACTGGTCAAGCATATTAAACAATACATGTACTTCAAAGTATCATTTTATTGTCTCACC